CGCCGGGTCTAGGACGCGAACCGTGGTTGACTATGTGGGAGTCCAGCGATATAGCCATTACGCTAACTGCTGGTCCCACCCTCAAAGGGTCTTCATGCCATGATCCAACCTTGGGATGCTTTAAAAGCATGAGGGACATAGGGTCACCCAGGGGAAGGAGGATAGGAGGGGAAAGGTGGATCCCGGAACACCTTAACCTCGGTCAAAGACAAGGGGTCAGGCAAGGTAGGAGGAAAAGTAGGAAGTGTCACCATAGCCAGCGGCAGACAGCGTGACAGAGGGGGTGACTAGCTGTGCCAAGTGCGGGGTCAGAGGAAGGTGGGACCGGACCAGCGCTGGGTCACATGGAAGCTATGGCGAGTCCAGTCTCAGGGTCGGGAGCCGTCTGTGGCCAGAGAGTGCCGGAGGGTAGATGAGCCTTTGAGGAGTTCTGTCGTGAGAGGGGGGCCCTATCTGGAGGGGATGAGAGACACTGCAGCATGCTTGTCTTGGTGGCAGAGATTGGGCAGGAGAGAGAGGATAACTCAGGGGGCTGGCACCCAAGGCCCTGGGGCGGGGCCAGGGGGCTCTTGTGGATAGGACAGGGCAGTTCATGGAGTCTGGCTGGGGTGGACAACCCCTGCGGCCCGCGCTGGCAGGAGGCAGATACGCCGGGAGGAAGACAGGGGCTCCTAACACATCGCACTCCCAACAGCCATGGCTTCCAGCGCCGACCTGGGGCTTCCTGTGGGACCTGGGGCAGGGCTGGTTCTTTCCAGCTGCGTTTCCCTGCGGGGAAGTGGGAACCGCAGTTCCAGTTTGGCATCCCTTTTGGGGTAACACTCTCGGCCTAGCCTGTCTGAAAATCCCTCTGATGGGTCCCCAGTACAGAGTTCCACTGGCTTTGACTTGAGATGAAGGTCACCTCAAAGGTCAGCTAGGCTTTGTCGCTCCCCAGGTGCTGGGGGCCCAGGGCTATGCCATTATACCCCCACCCCTCACCCTTTGGACACCACGAACAAAAAGCCTGACTGGGTCTGCCTATCTACAATGAAAGGAGGAAAGTGACTCAGTGGGCAGTTCTGGGGGTGGGGTGGGCGGGGGCCAAGCCCGCGGCTCTGCCTTCTGAAGGCAGAGTGGAGACGAGATAGCCCAGGCTTTGGAGCAGGACACACCCCAGCTCCGAGCTTCCCAGTGCATGATTTGCCTGAGATTTACCCGATGACTCTTCCCAAAGCCCCGAGCTAATTTTAGACTCATAATATTGTACTTTTTGTTACACAGCCTCCCCCCACCAAAAAATAAAAATGTGTAACACCCAAACTCCATAAAACCAGCATCTACCTGAGGACTTTGGGGTAATGACTTGACCTCGGTTTTCTCATCTGTAAGATGGGACCACCAGACCTGTCTCCTGAGCTGGGGGAACTGGTTACTGGGGACACCGTGCAGGACACGCAGCGGTGAGGGTTCGAGGTAAGGAGAGGTGAGGTTCTAACTGCGGGGGGCAGAGAAGAAGGTGGTGTCACCTCAGGGTGACTGGCTCCCTCTCATCCCCGGCAGTCTGTGTGCTGTCCTGGCAGGGGTGCGTCCTCCAGTCCCCACCTCTCCTGGCAGACTTGGCCCTGGAGATCACAGGTGAACCCTTTCTGCCCACACTCTTAAAGGCAGGACCGCGAGGGTGACTCCGTCTCCTCCCTTCCACCCTCCCCTCCCACAGCGGGCTCCTCTCATTCCCCTGAGCCCATCCAGGGCCACACGGAAACCCCGTCCGGCCCCTCTTTTACTGAGCTGTCCTCCTGCTTTCCTAGACAACAGAGTTCAAATCCCCCTGAGCGACTCACACCGGCTCCCAGGACTGGCCGTCCTGCAAAGGCCCCTTTTGACTTCATCGCCCTCAGTTCTCAAGGGGCCAGGAGGTCATAGCCTCCTTTCCAGGGTAGGGGACACAGGAGGTCTTAAGGTTGCCTACCCCTCTCTGTCCCCACTCAGTTATATGTGCCCCAACTCCAAGTGCTTACCTTTACAGGGACCAGGATGGGCAGAGGCAGCAGGAAAATGGGCAGAAATATTACAATCAGGTACGAGCGATAGGCCCACAGGCCCTGCCAGCAGGTGGCCATGGTGTGGACTGACTGGCACTGCCAGAGTCACTGTCTCCAGGGACCTGAAGGACCAAGCAGCAGTCGGCAGGTGGCCCGGGGCAGCTTATATAAAGCCAGGAGTGTTAACCATTGACCCACCCTGGCAATCAGAGTGTTTTGGAGTCCAGGAGGTGAGAGTAAGGGGGAGGGACCTGCAGGAGAGTAAAGATCAGGAAGACTTGGCAAAGAAAGGGAGGGGGAAAGACCAAGGAATAATAGCTTAGGAGTTCCTTGAAGAAGTTAAGCCCAGAGTTAACTCCTTCTGGTCAGGGAGGCTGCTGTGGGCTGCAGCTGGAGAGGCTGGCAAGGCTGGAGAAGGAAGAGCATATGAAGGACCCTGCGGCTGGCCACCCACCCCAGGGCCGGCCGCCCACCCCAGGGCCAGACCCTAGCCCTCCTCCCAGCCCGGCCTTCCCGCTTCCCTCTTCATCTACGAAAGCTTCTCAGACAGGCTGCTTTGACAGGCTGCTGGGCAGGGTGCCCCTGCCCTGCTTGCAGAGAGGCCCTGCCCTCAGGAGTTTCCAGTCTGAGATGAAGGCTACCGACCGACGAGGCCTCGAGCAGGCCCTCCCGCTTCCAGGTATCAAGGAAACTGTCGCCCTTCTATTCTTACTCACTGTGGGATGATGACCCACTGGCTTGGCCTCCCAGAATAGCCACTTCCTCATTCTGCAGTAATCTCTGCCTATTGTGAAGCTCACCCAGCAAGCCAGCGAGCATGGTGGTACGGTTGGCCCACCATAAAGCTAAGTTTCCCTCAGGCTCTTCCTGGCTCTCCCACCTCTCCATGCTGCCTTGGAAGGCCAGCAAAGACCGTCTCATGCTCTGAAAACACATAGTCTCGGGACCAGCAGTTAGTGTAATGGCTATGTCGCTGGACTCCCACATAGTTGACCGTGGTTCGAGTCCCGGACCCAGTGGCTTAAACTCACACCGGGTGCATGTGTGTGCGTGCCCAAGATCCCAAGAGAAGAATGGAGGAGAAGGAATTGCGGCGTGGCCATCCCCTCTGGGGGGTGATTTCTCGCTTTCTATCTCTCTGTCTGTCTCTGTCTGTCTGGCGAGCGCACGCGCCCTATAGCAAAAACCTCTCAAAAAAAAAAAAAAACCCAAAAAACAGAAAATAAATAAACACGGTCTCTCCAGCCATGTCTCCATCCATCCGTCCATTAAACGAGTGTTGGGCACGAATTATGTATTGGGGCCTTCAAAAAGTACATGAAAACATGGATTTGAAATCTGAGTTTATTTTGGTATAAAATGTTTTGCAATTTGTGTATAGTTTCTTTTTTCCTTTTTAAAAAGATTTGTTTAAATTAAATGACTTTTAATTTACCATAGGGCACATGTCTCAGAGAGAGACATGAAGAGAGAGAGAGACAGTGAGAAAGAAAGTGAGAAAGCAAGCTGCCAGGTTCGAGACCTGAACCATGGTTGGTCATGTAGGAGTTCAGCGCCCTAACCACCATGCCACCTGCTGGCCCCCATGTATGGTTTTTTGATAATACATGTGTCCCATGAACTTTTTTGTTTGCTTCCAATAAAACAGTACCTGAGAGACAGAGCAGCACTCTCTACGGGGTCCGATGAAATCCCCTTCCTTCAATCGTCCAACGCACCGGACCCCGAGCATTTGACACAGGTCTGGTGTGTTTCTGGCTGTCCAGGCCAGGGGTTTGAACTGTAGTCACCATGCGGGTTCTGGTGTCTCTTGAACAGCGCTGTATGGCTGTGCCAGGGAGCTGGACTTCCATGATCTTTCTTTCTTTTTTTTTTTTGGAGAGGTTTTTGCTATAGGGCGTGTGCACTTAATCAGACAGACAGAGAGAGACAGAGAGAGAGAAAGCGAGAAATCACCCCCCAGCGGGGATGGCCATGCTGCAATCCCTTCTCCTCCATTATCCTCTCAGGATCTTGGGCACGCACGCACACGCGCCCGGCGTGAGTTTAAGCCACCGGGTCCGGAACTTAAACCACAGTTGATTACACGGGAGTCCAGCGACATAGCCATTATGCTAACTGCTGGTTCCCCATGATCTTTTTGAAGACCCCACTTATTCAGCCTGTGCTCAGTGCTGGGAACACAGAGATTAAAACGCTGCTGCTGTCCACGATAACCGCATTTGTCCCGTCTTTAGTACAAGCTAGTCTGTGTCCTATTTCATGGACTCCGACAACCTGACCATGAGTTTGGTGTTATTGCTATCCCATTTTACAGATGGGCAACCTGAGGTCCAAGGACACAGAGCCAGCCAGAATTCAAACCTGCTTTGTGAGTGCTCTGAGGGAGTTCCAAACCAGTGCAGGAGCACTGGGTGGGAGGAGAGCACCCGGGGTACCAGGCAAGGACCCCTGGAGGAGAGGGCACCAAGCGAAGGCTCAAGCTGGAGTCTAGGTTGGCCACGAGGTGACGGGAGAGGAGCACAGGCAGAGATCCAGCTGCTGTGGTGCAGTAGCAACACATGTGCCCTGCAAGGCTGGAAGCCATGAGGTGTCGGGGGGTTCAGTTCCCTGGGTCGGCCCAGAAACACTGGGCATACAGGTACCTAGGACCCTGAGGAGCTGGAAGGCCCAAGGAGATCGCACTGAGCTTGCCCGTCCCCTCGTGCGCATGTTCCCAGCCATAGTAAGTGAACGACTGAATGAATAAAACTGGAGATGGCATAGGTGTGTGCATGAACGGGGCAGGATGTGACTTGGAAAAATATGGGTGGCCTATCTGGCTAGAACCTCTGTCTCTTGGGACCCTCGGCCCTCCTCACCTGTCTGCACACAGTAGGAGTTCTATGCACATTTCTGACAGCGAGCAGAGTTCCGGTCTGTGTGCAGGGATAAGAAGGGAGAGAGTTTCAGGCAGTGAGCATGGTCGGGGCCAAAGAGGCGGAAGAGTGAAGTTCTGAGGTGAGAAGGTTCTGTGGTTAGAGTGCGGGTCTGTGAGGGGCAGGGTGGGAAGCTGATGTCTGTGTTTTTAGGACGGGTAACAGCCTGACCTGGGCTCTTACATGCTGAGACACTCCTGGAGCCCAGGGGGTCTGTGTGAGAGAGTTCCCAGGGCTCTCTGTCGGTGGTCATAGTGGTGTGGACAGATCCAGGTGCCTGGGCTCCCGGGAGCAGGCCAGAGTTGGTGGGGGAGAGTACAGTCACACAGAGCAGACTCGCCACCCCCAGCCTTTGCTCAGGCCTTGGCTCCTTCACTCCCACACAACCAACCTGTCAACTGCTCAGGTGAGGTGAGCAACAGCCAGGCAGCACCGGGGTAGACAAAGGGTTCCAGATGTCCAGGACAATACGCTCTTCTGTTTCCCTTGGACGAGGCCTCTCCCATGGCCCGAGGCTCTGGAGGAGCCATGAGAAGAACCAGGCTAGCCCCCCCGCCCCAGGAATAGCATTTACTGGGTGAACAATCTGCCTCCCAGTGGACCCACCTCTCCACACCAAGCCTATAGGCTCAGAGCAGTGAAGTTACTTGAGTCACACAGCTGTGAGTACCTGAGAGAAGGCTTCTTACTTCAACTTTTTAAAAAAAAAAGAATTATTTTGTTTAATTTTATTTATTTATTTATTTGTTTATTTCTATTTGACCAGAGAGGGACAGAGAGGGAGAGAGACAGAGAAAGTGAGAAAGCAAGCCACTAGATCAGGAACTCAAACCGCCGTCGGCCATGTGGGAATCCAGCGCCTTTAACCCCCATGCCACCTGCTGGCCCCCCAGATCTGTTCCTAAGACTGGTGGTGCCCTTGACTGAGCTGTCCATACTCTGTTCTTGTTTTTGTTTTTGATGGAGTTGGGACAAAACTCAGTGGTTCCAAACTAGATGGCTGCTAGTTTACTGAGACCCCTGGCTTCCGCCGACAGCTCTCTTCAAAGGCGTAGGCTTTGGAGCCTTTGCAGGTTCTCGCTTATGACAATGGTGGCAGCTGTCACATCTCCAGCAGCCAGGTTTATCAGTGATGAGTTCATCTCCAAGCCAGTGTCCAAGGCCAGAGGGAAGTGTCCGGCTGTGACACCCATTCTAAAAACTTACCCCTTGCCCGGCAGCCACGGCCAGGTCCCCACGGTCTGTCCCTTGTTCAAGTCTCCAGTTTGTCCCAACCCCCCTTCCCTAATGAATCTGCAATGAACTGCTTCTCCACAGCCCACGAACAGCTCAGGGCAGGTGCATGGCTGTGCTTCAGTCTTCGCCGCAGCCTGTCCTGTGGCAGGTCTCTGTTCTATCTCAGGGCGGAGTCGTGACTGGTAAACACCTACCTTGCACTTTACCCTTTGACCCTCTTGGAGAGGGCTACTGAGTATAGCTGAGAAAGTCCTAGGGGGAGAGGAGATGGTCCTGGCTTGCCAGAGTCAGCCTTTCTTCTGACTCTGCGGCTAATAAACGAGATAAGCTGGGGCTGGGCTGGGGCACAAAGGTGGCTTTCCAGAAGGTCACAGTGGGCACTCAGCAGAAGGACACTCAGGGCTGAGCAGGTTGCAGGTGGAGCCTAGAGGGGCACAACTCGAGGGGTCCTGGAAAACCATGGTGGTCAGCATGATATGGAACACCAGGCTGATTTTCAAGACCTGAGTCTGTGCAGTCTAGAAAAGAAAAAAATGAGATGTAGGGCCTGGGCCGGGCCTGTGGTCTGGTGGTTAAAGGAGCTGGATCCCACATGGCTGACTCTGGTTCAAATCTCAGCTCCAGTGGCTTGCAAAATATACTGGACGCTTGTGTGTGCATACCCCAAATCCTGGCAGGGTCGGGAAATGGAGGGGATGACTGCAGTGTGACCACACCCCCCTGGGGGATGCTTTCTCCCTTTCCCTCTCTGTCTGTCTGTCTGTCTCTCTGGTGAGTGCACATGCCCTCTGGCAATCAAAACAAAACAAAACAAAACAGGGCATGGGGACAAAGGAGGACAGGGATACTCCCCAGGACAAGAGAGGATCGAGGACCGAAGGAATGCACAGTATGACTATTTTCAAGAAAACCATCCTCACCCCAGGAGAGGCTCCCCTCCTGGGTTCCCAGCGGGCCCTGAGACAGTAAGGAT